TTCCACAGAAAGTCAGTTTTCTTTCCTCTCAGCTGTGACTTTGTTGCAGTTCTGAGGATTGAACCCAGTGCCTCAAGAATGGTAGGCAAGTGTTCTAACGGAGTTGCATCCCTAGCCCTTTCAAAAAATTTGAGCTAAATTTCCCAGGTAGCTTGAACTACTACTTGGTGACACAGGCCTATAACCCCAGCCCTCAAGACAAAGAGGCTTTTATTTATTTTTGGTACCAAGGGTTGAATTTAGGCCCCTGGACCTGCGAGGCAGGCTTGTTGCCACTGAACTAAATCCCTGGCCCTTTAACTGCTACTTGGGAATATCCCATATTGTTTCACTTAATCCCATTAACAGGGCTTCACTCTTTAAAGACCATGCCGATTCAAAACTGCATCTTTATAACACTGCTATTAACACGTGGCTGTTAATAAGAAGAGTAGATTTTATATATATATATATACACACACACACACACACAAACACACACATATATGTATATATACCCTTACTATATTCCAGTGCTTTAAGTGCGTAATACATAGTATTCTTCAGTCCTTTCAATAACTCAATGAACCAGGTACGATTTTTATCCTCATTTTATTCATGAGGAAAGTGAAATTTAAGTTAAATTCTCCCAGGAAACTATGAAGTGACAGAGCTGGTATTCAAACACAGAACTGAATTGAAAATGCAATTAGAAGTAAAACAGTCTGCGCTTGAAAATGTACTTGAGACAAGGAAAATCCACAAAGACTCCTGAATTTGATCTTTGTAATGATTTTTATTAGTTTTTACTGGCATCTTTCTTAGTCTTCTCATCTTCCAGTTCCAGAAATGCAGAAAGTTCTTGATTCATTTTTAACTTACAAAATATTAACACATTTCAGGGCTGGGGATTTAGCTCAGTGGTTCCCCCACCTGCTTCGCAAGTGCAAGGACCTGAGTTCGATCCCTGGTACCAAAAAACCCCCCAAATATATATATATATATAAAACAAATTTCAAATGGAAACTATATTAACCATTTATATTAAGAAATTCATTTTGTAGCCAGGCATGGTGGCGCATGCCTATAATCCCAGTAGTCTAGAGGCTGAGGCAGGAGGATCGCTGTGAGTTGAGATCAGCCTGGGCTACATAGTGAGTTCCAGGGCAGTCTCAACTACATAGTGAGGCCCTGTCTCAAAAAACAAAACAAAACAAAAAACAGAAAAAAAAAAGGAAAGAAATTCAGTTTGGTTGGTTTTTAAGTTTGTTTTCATATACAAATAGGAAACATTTAATCGTTTAATACAAAAACATTTAATAACATTGGTTGAGGAGTGGGTTTTCCAACTAATTTATGGGTATGGATGCTATATATTATATATGGTTAACCAATTTCAGATATTACCAAGGACTACAAAATACATAAAGCTACACTTTATCAATACCTGCCATTCCTCTGACCAGTAAGTTTTAGGTCTTAAAGCAGAAGTTTCCAAATGTCAATTTCAATTAAGGCCCTGTGAGGATCTGTGGCAAAACGAGAAAAATAAATATACATTGCTGCTGGTTTATTAAATTTTCTAGGACTTATTTTCCCCTTGAAATTGTCTTTTCTACTTTCTAGTATTAATACACTTTATTTCTGTCTCACCTTCTATGTCATTTAGAATATACTGCCCAGCAGTTAATTTCAATCTAAGGATTAATTTTAGAAATATTCTTAGTTAGAAAACCAAAACATTCCGGGGCGGGGCAGTAGATTTTATTGATTTCCAACAAGATAACTTTCTAACAAATGGTTAACTAGTCTAGGAACTGGAAGGAACTTCTACTAGTGTGGTGGGCTACATGCAAGACTCTACTGGCTAATAAGTTAAGAGCCTGGCTCACACACAAATAAAACACTATTTTTTCAGGCTGGGGATTTAGCTCAGTGGTTCCGCTGCCTGCCTTGCAAGCACAAGGACCCGAGTTCAATCCCCGGTACCAAATCACTCAACTGGTGGACTGCAAAACTGAACAGTGTCTGGGTACCTAAAGTGTGAGTGGTCTTGTAGTGGTCTATCAGACTATGGAGCCTTTTGGCTGGGAAGCAATCAGGGGAAGGTCATCCTGGTTTCCCATTCTTACACAAGACTTTCAAGGGAGTACTAAAGTAGTCCCATATGACCTATCAGCAGAGAAAGGAGCAATCAGTGGTGTAAAGCCTTCTCCAATATTGGCCAACAGAATTCACTCAGATTAATAAGCAAAGGACTCATAAAGATCAACTGTATATGTGAGAAGGCCGGACACTGTGTGAGTCAGCAGAAACTAAACATTTTACTCCTAAGGATTGTAGATAATGGAGTTTTTGAAGATTTACCATGGCATGCTTAAATAAAGGGTACAATAATTATCTACAATGGGCAGGAGGTAAAAAGACAAATACCAGACATAATTATTGAAATATAATTATTTAATTATAATCATTAAAATGTAATTATGGAAATTTAAAGAAAACTCAGGGAGTTAAATGGTAAATTAGGCATGGCTGAGTGATTAGGTCACTATGCATTAAAAAATTTTACCACCTCAGATATCAGGCATTAGATTCTTAGAAGGAGCAGCACAACCTAGGCCCCTGTCATGTGCAGTTTGGAGAAGGGCTCACATTCCTATGAGAAAAGAATCTAATGCTGTAGCTGATCTGACAGGCAGGTGGAGGGCCTCAGGCCGCAGCACCAGCAATTCGATGAAGCTTCACTTGCTTGTTGCTCACTTTCTGTGGTGTGTGACCATGTCAAGGTGTTGGGAATCTCTAATCTAAAAGGAATCCTCTCTAACTAACTCCCCCTCCGGGGGGGGGGCTACAACTGAAGCCTACTGTGGTGGCTTTAAACTAAAGCTTTAGTGTACTAGTTATGAACATACTGAAAAGATCAGCAGAAAACTGAGGAAAGCCTCTGTCATAAAAGAAAAATACACACATGAGAAGTAACTCAGGGAAAAATGACTATGAGGAAAACAGAAACATCAAAACAATATATAATCATTAATATACTCAGGTAGGTGAAAGAAGATACTGATTCTGTTAGACTTGCAAAAGCTGCTATTAAAAAAGCCACCCATAATAAGGCACATTGTAAAATTTATAAATGCTGAAGTCAAAGATTCTGCAAGCTTCCAGAGAGAGGGAAAAACAAAAACAAAATAGGTCCCATACAAAAGATGAAGAAACAGAATGGCTTCAGATTTCTCTGTAGCACAAGGGAATTTAGAAGACAACACAAAAATTCCTTCAAATTTTTAAAGAAAAACAACATTCAACTTGGAATTCTACACCCAAACTATTTTTTTTTTAAAAGTGAGAACAGAACTAAAGAACATTTAGGTATTCAACATCTTATATTTCACCTCTCATGCAGCCTTTCTCAGGAGCTCCTAGAAATTGTATTATCTCTCTGATGGTGTAAACAGAGGAGGCAGGTGTGAGATAGATGTGGAAAAAAGAAAGAACAGAGAATTCCTTGGGAAAATGAAGAGAGAACCAAGGATAACAGTTGTACAGTAGTATAGGATTGTGCAAAAGACACAATGGAGGCTGTCCTCAACATAATGCCTTTGGTTGTACTACACTAACCTGAAATGTCTTGGCGAGTCTGGCATAGATTTTTATCTGTACTTGGGTTGCTGGACCATGTGCTGATGAAGTCCTTGCTCTTCAAGTACTGCTCTCAGGAACACTTCAGAACAATAGGTGTTCTGCTTTGATCTACTCCTGAGCTGCAGGATAGTCACAGAGAACCTAAAAGTGGAAAAGCCTAAGCAGCCTGCTGCATATAACCATGTTACAGGCAGATAACAGCTTTAGCAACTAGTGTAGTTTTCAAAATATAATAATCATAGATAATACTGTTTCCTAAGATTTGCTCAGGGCCTTGCTCAATGACTTTTCCTAGAAAAAGGACTTGAAAATGCTGAGAAACTGAAGCCAGACTAAAACCCAATGCCTCTGCAGGTTATCTTTTCCTAGGATACCTCAACAGTGGCAGTACTGCCTTTTTTGTGTATAGTTTCTGCAAGCTACCTAATTTTTAATCTCCTTCACACTTATTTATATGTATATATTTGATAAAATATTTCATTTGAAACACTCATGGCTCAATATCAGAAAATCAATGTTGGGCTGGGGATTAGATCAGGGATTCTGCCACCTGCCTTGCAAGCGCAAGGACCTGAGTTCAATCTCTGTTACCAAAAAAAAAAAAAAAAAAAAAAAAAAAAAAAAAAAAGAAAAGAAAAAAGAAAATCGATGTCATTCATCACATTACTGTTATGAAAGGTGAAAAACCAGATCATCCAAACAAATGCAGAAATAAATTAGCAATAATAGGGAACTTCTAATGAAGATTCATTTAATTAACTCATCTAACTAGTATCACATTTAATATAGTAACTTTAGACTCGGGAGCAGAAATACGATATCAACACTTGCTAGCAGTTACTGTAAAATACAGACTGATAATCTGGCCATATCATTAAAAGTGAATGAAGTCGGCTGGGCATGGTGCTGCAGGACTATAATCCCAGTACTCAGGAGGCTGAGGCAGGAGGATCGCTATGTGAGACCAGCCTGGGCTGCATAGTGAGTTCCAAGTCAGTCTCAACTACATAGTGAGACCCTGGCTCAAAAAACCAGGGGAAAAAAAAGTGAATGAGGTAGGGCCAGATATTGTGGTGCATGCCTATTATCCCAGCACTTGGGAAGCTGAGGGAGGACTTCTGCGAATTCAAGGCCAGTCTGGGCTACACAGTGAGTTCGATGTCAACCTGAACTACATGGCAGCCGTTTAAAAAAAAAGTGAATGAGGATAAGGACTGAAAAGGAAGAGAAAAACTATCACTATTTGCATTTGGATTTAGGTAGACAACCTAAGACAATTATTAATATTAGAATTTAGCATTCGTCAAAGGTGTAAATACTAGATCAAAATATCAAGTTCAATATATTTCTCTGCACCAAAAATAATGGGATATGTCTGCTTTGGTAGAAATATACTGAAGTTGGAATGACACAGAGTTGATTAGGATGGCCCTTATGCAAAGATGATGCACACATCTGTGAAGTGTTCCATATTTTTCCAGTGGTAGTAGAAAGCACAGAAACTGACAAGACGTAATCATCACTCAGTACGCAAAAATAACCTTTGTATAGTTGTCATTTCTGTAATAGATTGAGTGACTAGACTATAGCTGTTCACTTAGAAATAAGTTACTCTCATGTTCATCTTTCTTTTAAAATAACTGTACAACTGACTTCAACATGGTTCTTACTGTGAACATGGTAGTAAACATTTTTTAAAAAATTCTGATAAAATATAAAGGTGCCCAAAGATTTGTCTAACAACAAGGAGATGAGTAGCAGCTTGTCAGAAACCTATGGAAGAAATAATTTTTTTAGGTACTATGATTAGGTTAGATGCAGTAATAGATACATTTTAAAATAGCAAGTGAGTATCAGTGTGGGGGAATGAGATAAAATAAAATTTATTAAAAAAATAAAATAGCAAGTGATAGTGTATCTTATCCATATCACTAGGCTGCTGCAGAATTTTAAGTTAACAGAGAAAGCTCTGATTTTTATGCAAAGACTGACACTAGATATTTGAGGAGCGTAATACAGAGACTTTTAAAAACTGATTTTGTTAAATCTACACTATGGTCTCTATTACTCCAGCGGAAGTGTGTGTGTGTGATTTTTTTCTTCATACTGTAGTGTATAAAAAAGAAAAATACAACATAAATATTAAAAAACATTTCAATATTCAGTGAATTTTGTTTTTGGGTGCGAATAAAACTTGTTTAATGAAGAAATAATGGGATATCATTTTTAATGACAGCAACAATTATAATACACAAGAATTAGACAAATAAGATGTTCAGAATAAATAGGTATTATTTTCAGAAAAGAAAATAATTTATACCATTTATATGTTTTATCATATAAATTTTCAACTCACCTGTAAGTAATTTCTATTTTTTTTTGGGGGGGTACTAGGGATTGAACTTGGGACCTCGCACTTGAGAGGCAGGCAGTGGAACCAATGAGCTAAATCCCCAGCCCAGTAATTTCTATATAAATGTAAATCTGTTTTTTCTTTTTTCTTTTGGTTTCTGAGTCTGGGTCTTGCTATGTCATCCAAGTCACTATGTAGCCCTTGAACTCATCATGTAGCCCAAATTGGCCTTGAACTCTTAATCTTTCCCCCTCAACTACCCCGAGTGCTGGGATTATAGGTGTATGCTACCACAACTGGCAATCTTTAGCTTTAAATCACAAAGAAACAGAACAGATATATCGGTATGCAGTAGGTTATTTACACAATATGAAGAAAAATGGAAACTGTATTAATTCCAATCCTGCAAAAACAGTTCAACATTTTATCCTTAAAAAGTCAATCAAGTTTAATTTATTTCTCCAGTAAAAGCAACTTTACAATCTATTAAAAATAAAATTGAACTCCAATTTGTTTTCTCTATTAAAGAAAGCATAAAATAATGCACAGTTGTATTTAAGTAAATGTATAATTATGACATACTGACTAAATCAAATACCTAAATAAGATGTTAAAATGTGAAAATTTATAGTCCTTGTACCTTTTCTGAGCTGATAAAATACAATCAGAAAAATCAAAGTTAAATAAAAATTAAACTGTTTTCTTACTGCAACCTGTGATTTATTTTAATCTAAAATGTTTGGTTTCGTTTTTTGGGGTTTTTTGGTTTTTTTGTTGTTGTTTTTTTGAGACAGGGTCTCACTATGTAGTTGAGACTGACCTGGAACTCACAGCATCCTCCAGCCTCAGCCTCCCGAGTGCTGGGATTATAGGCGTGCACCACCATGCCCAGCCCGAAAATGTTTGGTTTTGATTAGTAATTTCTACAAATTAGCACTCCATAAATAAGTTACTAAAAATAACAATATGGGAGCCTTGACTTTTCTATTTAATTTCATCTGAAAAAAATTAAAACTGTCATGTTAAAAAAAATGCTACAGAATCTGTTTATTCTAGTCCTAAATTGCTTTTTCTAGAATTTTAATAGAGAATTTTCAGCCACAAATAGTTATCAGTTAGTATATATAATTTAGTATACTTAACCAAAAAGTAAACACTTCAGTGGAATTGTTTTTTCATTTTATTTTATGTCCTTCTGCCTGGACATCTTTAATGGCAGTCACAAATTCTATCTTAATTACTCACCTTTTGAAACTACATATTGTTGACTCAACATTTTCCTTCTACTTCTAGTATTCAATTTAGATGTCTCAAGATGAAATACCATAAGTTATCAAAAATTTGTCCCAAGAACAGACTTTTCATAAAGTCTTTTTTTTAAATAGTAACTTTTTTAAAAAATTAATTAATTAATTAATTAATGTTTTTGGTACCGGGGATCGAACTCTGGTTCTTGCGCTTGCAAGGCAGGCAGTGGAAGCACTGAGCTAAATCCCTGGCCCTTCATAAAGTTTTAATGGATTGAAGGAGAACTTTTAATTTCAAAATACAAATAGAAAATAATAATACAAGAAACTTTACCTTAACTTGAGGGCTAATACCTGGGTGTTAGAAAAATAGGTCTAAAATAAATACATTTTACTGTAATCATTTTTCTGTACAAGGTCAATATTAACATTTTAAATGATATATTGTCATTTCAGCAAGGACTTCCCAAGAGAATTTTAGTAATATTCTTTTATGCTGAGTGTATATTTGGCCAGATACAGTTTAGTCTGAAATCTTCTACAATTATTTCTTTGATAAACATAAATCTATATGAAAGATAAAAATAGCTAAATCAGTCTAATAAAATGTTGTTTTCAGTAATATCTGTAAATGTATTTTGTGAACTATATTAGTGAGAACAATGATCTTCAGTATGACCACAGCAAGTGTATGACTTCTAATTTTGTGGGGGGTATTCAGCGCACTGAAACTTAGCTGAATTTAAAATCATTATTAAGCACAAAGCAAGTCAAGTCAAGCAGCATTACCGTAGCTTAGTATTTTGAATCTCAGTAAATTAAATCTAAAAGAAAGATTAATCCAATGTGATAAATGTATGATGTTTAAAGAACAGTATAATACTAGGTAGAAGCAGAAAAATATATGAAAAGATTAAAAATCATTACTGCTAGAACTGATCATATTAGTAAGTGAAAACCCAAAGGATATGAGTCTTGGGCAGTAGAAAACATGTATTTTTCATATACTCTGAGTCATGTTATAAAGTAAAAAAGAATTATACTCTATCATTCTATAACCATCTCCTTTGCAATGCTTCTAGTGACTTATAAAAATTTAGGAATAAAAGATAATAGCTTTAACTGTTTGTGGGTGAAAACACTGTATCTAAAGTAAACCCAACACTGGACATCATAAAGAGCAGAAAAATTTTATTATTCAGTTTAAGGTTATAAAAATTTTGCCTTTGCTTGGTCTCATAAATTTTATCAGTCAATTTCTGAGGGTTTCAAGTCAGTCTACAACTTTAAGAAGCATTAATGATCCCTTCTGTAGCAAACCATGCATTCTATATAGTTCATCAATATTAAATATTACTCTTCCAATACCAAGGGATTTAAATACCATGAAAATGATAGCAATCTCCATAATCTTAAAAGCTAGGCAAAACTAATGTCCTCATGGTCCAATACAGTGCAAAATGTGACCAGGTCACTAGGTCAACATACTAATGTATAACTTTAATAATTTCTAGCAGCAAAACACCTGGAATAGCCAATAACAAATGTTCTTACTAAACTGTAGATTAATTTCTTTGTATGAAATAATTTTTAAAGTACTCTAAAATATTGTTCAACTGCACACAAACATGAAAGATATCAAAGATCTTGTTTATCTCCACTTTTCTCTGTGGAACCAGGTGCACCCAGAACCTTATTAGTTTCAACAAAAACAGATTCAAAAGCAGCTTCCTGTTCATCCAAAGAGTTAGCAGCCGTGGCTCCTTTAATTAGTGTTGGGTTGGTAAAAGACTGTTGCTGCTTGGAAATTTTACTCGCTTCCACTGTTTTTCTACCTCTTCTTTTACCAAGAATCTTAACATAATTTGCAGGTATAAGTCCTGTTGTTTGACCATCAACACTGGCCAAAAGCCAACCACGAACTTTGGGTTGTTGTTCTGATGGGGGAAAAAAAAAGACAGCTTTGTAATTATAACACACTTATTAATAATATTAATGATAAAATATTATGTAAAAATCTGTAATACTTTAACAATAAAATATAGAAACAAATAGCAACACAGGTATATTGAAAATCAAACGCTGAGTAGGCTTAATCATTCTGTTTTTTTTTTTTTTTTTTTTTAAAGAGATGAGTCCTGCTCTGTTGCCTAGGCTGCTCTTGAATTCCTGGGCTCAAGTGGCACCCTACCTCAGCCTCCTGAGTAGTTGGGATTATAGGTAGGTACCACTGAGCCTGGCTTCAGATCCATACTGATAATTTATATTTTTTATTTCTTTCTACCCTGAAGAACATAGAGTTTGTATCAGTTGGTCTATTCATTTAGTATGGAGGTTCAGTCCTTCATAAGCTGAAAATTAAAATCAATGTGTTTCATATTTTAAATTGGAATCTAAGAAATGGCTATTTCATTCTTTCTCAATAATATGTTGGGGCAAGTATAGAAAATAAATGTAGGCTGGGGATTTAGCTCAGTGGTGCCACTGCCACCTGTCTGGTAAGCACAAAGTCCCAAGTTTGATCCCCAGGATCATGGGAAAAAAAGAAAAAAAGAAAGAAAAGAAATGTAAACTTTTTTTTTTTTTTTTTTGAGAGATGTGATCTTATTATGTTGCCCAGGCTGGTCCTGAACTTCTGGGCTCAAACAACCCTTCCCTCCTGCTTCAGCCATCCAAGCGGTGTTATGGGCTCATCACCACATCTGGTTTTTAAATATATATTTATGCAGTGTGCGTGTGCATTGTGTGGTACTGGTGGCTGAACCGTGGCCTTCAAAGTGGGCTATATCCTCAACCCTTTTAAAATTTTTTTGTTGTGTTGTTGTTCATTTTGAGACAGGTCTTTATATGTGGTTCAGGCTGGCCTTGAACTCCTGGAGATCCTTCTGCTTTAGTCTCAGTGCTTATAGTGCTCAGGATTATAGGTGTGTGCCATCATTCGTGGCTTTTTAAATTTTTAATTTAAATTTAAATTTTTAAATAGGATCTTGCTAAGTCACTACATTGGCCAGCCCGGTCTTGAACTTGCTATCTTTCTTTCCACAGCCTCTCAGAGTGCTAGGATCAGAGGCATGCACCATCATGCCTGGAACAGTCAGCTTTCTTTATATACTCAGTCACAATGTAAAATTCATTCCAGGGCCGGGGATTTAGCTCAGTGGTTCCACCCCACCTGCCTTGAAAGCACAGGGGACCCGAGTTCGATCCCCGGTACAAAAAAAGAAAAAAAAAATTCATTCCATATAATTTTGATAAACATTCCTAAAGATAGTGCTGCTAATTTTAATTCAAGATGGGCAAAATCTTGAAGACCTCAGCTGTCTCTAGCTATAAGACAGAAAGTTAAAGGCAATACTCAAAGCTTAAAGTAAGAAAGATTAATGACAGTTGTATATTCAATTCCATGTGACATTTCCCCATCTATTTTATCCATATCTTTAAAAAGCTGCTTAACTGTTACAATTTTAGATCAGCATTTTAAATTAGGCATAAGATTTTTATGCTTAATTGTCTATAGTAAAAGAGATTAAACATTTAAATTAACCATGTCTGTAATTCATTTTACTCCAAATGCTCAAACATACTTTAAGCAAAGGAAGAAAGCAAAGAAATAAAGCCAAGGTGTTAAGAGGTGCTCTTAATTGAAGAATAATGAGATAAATTTTATTCTGAAATACAACATAACTGAAAGCCTTCTTAGCTTTAGCCTTTATTTTTATTTTAATAAAATTTTTTTTGTTGTTTTTTGGAGACAGGGTCTCACTATATAGTTCAGACTGGCCTTGAACTCACTATGTTCCCCAGGCTATCCTTAAACTCATGGCAGAACTCCTGCCTCAGCCTCCAGAGAGCTGGGACTACAGGTGTGCATCACCACACCTGGCTTTGGCTTTATCCTTTATTTAGATTAACTGGAAAATCATTATCAGTGTTGTTCCTGTCTCTAACAAACCTTAAAAATAAATCATTCTTTTGAGATCCAAAACAGTAAATTGCTATATTTATTAGAAGACATAAGTATAATACCTAGGAGTCTTGGTTCTATTTTTTTATTTTTTTGAGACAGGGTCTCACTATGTAGTTGAGACTGACCTGGAACTCACTGTGTAGCCCAGGCTGGTCTCGAACTCATAGCAATCCTCCTGCCTCAGCCTCCCGAATGCTGGGATTACAGGCGTGTGCAACCATGCCCGACCGAAGTCTTGGTTCTATAAATGAAAGGATGAGGCAGAGTTTTAGCAATCTGCTCTAAACTTTTTCAATGATAGGGCCGGGGATGTAGCTCAGTAGCACCATGCCTGCCTTGCAAGTGCAATGTCCTGAGTTCAATCCCGAGTACCAGAAGAAAAAAAAAATTCCTGTGCACAAACTTTTCCAATGATCAAGGTATTTTTGCGCTGTGTAAAGTGACTAAAACCAGTGAAAAGATGAAGTTTCCATTAATAGCTATTCCCATGGAAAAGTTAGCTCAAGTAGTCAAAAGGTTCTGAAAAACAAACCTATACTGACAATTCAGTTCTATCATAGCTTTGTGAAACTGGACAACCTACTCATCCTGAGTCTCAGTTTCCTCCTGTGCAAAACAGGAACAGGATAACAAAATGTGACTTTCTGAAATGATTGTGTATTGCCAATAACACACAAAACTAAAAAATATAAACAAGCCGGGCGTGGTAGCGCATGCCTGTAATCCCAGCACTCAGAAGGCTAAAGCAGGAGGATTGCTGTGAGTTCGAGACCAGCCTGGGCTACATAGTGAGTTTCAGGTTAGTCTCAACTACATAGTGAGACCCTGTCTCAAACAAAAAACAAAAAACAAAAAAACCTCCAAAACTCCTTGTCATCCCTACTAGGCAAAGATGAAGGAAAAGGCCATTTTGTGTGGAGCCATTAAAAACTATTAGTGACCTGGTCCAAAAATAAACTGGAGATGTACACAAATATCTAAAGTTCTCTAATACTTCATGACAATAATTCTTAAAATACTCATGATGGACTTCCTAAAGTAAACACTATTCAAATAATAAAGAAAGCTAAGAACAGATAGGATTTGTAGATGATAATTCCTTTGGATTTACATTTAGTACTTCATGTTTTTGTGCGGGGATTAACAAACTTTGGAATTCAAGTGTGTTGAGTGTATAAGAGATTATACAGAGATTTTCCTTATCTCAGTGAAATATTATTGGAATTATTTTCTTGGGGGGTTCTCTGCTTTAGATTTGGAAGGTCTAAACTGACATAGAAATTCTAGTAACCTCAACATTAACAATAAACAAGATCCTTTGTTGCAGTTTCTAATATTAAAAATGTACATATGTAAAAATTTAGAGATTATTTCAATAATTTGTTACCTTTGAGCGCTAAATTTAGCATATCACCAGCACGGAATGAAATTTCTTCTTCAGACATTGCAGCAAAATCATATTCTGCTCTAGCAACTACGTGGTCATCCTCACCATTTGCCCAACTGGTGTTTTCTATAAGCCAAATTAAGAATTAAGAACAGGTTAGCAAAGCTTGCAAAAGGAAAAGGCAGATGTCTCACTGATTATTTCCTGTATTGTGGATATGCTTATTTGCCAAGAGAAAAGTCTTCCCCTTTTACTAAGTGAATCTTAGATATAGAATAGATCCTATAATCAACAATATGTTAGGTAAGCATATTTACTATTATAGCTCTTACAAACATTTCCCTTTTCTTTAAACTCCAGATGCCTGGTCCCTTACTTTAAGCCTAGGGTTGGCAATTTTTTTCTGTTAAGGGTTAGATAGTAAATACTCTTGACTTTGTAGCAAAAGAGGCAAAATAAGGTATAATATGCAGCCACTTATACAATGAGAGGAAAGGAACATTTTTTGATAAAATTAAAAATATAATGAGTTTTTTTGGGGGGCAATATAGTTCTATAAGAATGAAAAATTCTTATCAAGTATTATAAACTAGCAGTGTCAAAGGCAAACTTCACATATTTATATGCTCAAAAGAGCATGATATTCCATTTTCAGGTTCACCTGCAAATATTCATTTGTTAATGCTAATTTGTGATGAAATTTGAGGTACTTCAATTTTTTTTGGTACCAGCGATCAAACTTGGGACCTTGAGCTTGTGAGGCATCTGGTGGAACCACTGAGCCAAATCCCTGGCCCACTTCATTTTTGAAAATTTCTTTTCACACAAACAGGTACTGCTAAATCCTAATTCATGAACTTGTGGTTTTAATTACACACTACTGGGGATATTAATAGACTAGAATATAATTCAGTCAAATTCTTCTCTTGATTTTGCTTTTTATCATATCATTATATTGCAAATTAATCACTTCTAAATGGAGATAATATGGAAGGTCCTTGGGCCAGGGATTGAGCTCAGTGGTGCTGCCACCTGCCTCGCAAGTGCAAGGTCCTGAGTTCAATCCCCAATCCAAAAAAACAAAAACAAAAACAAAAACAAAAACAAAAACAAAAACATTAACTGCACAGTTAAATGGATCCCAAAATATGGAATTTTCCTTTGCATTTGCATGGAGGTTCAAAAACTACTTCTCACACTGTAGTTTGAACTTAGAAAACTTATCTACTGAAAGGTGGGAGTAGAAATCTTGAGTTAAAGCAACATGAGTGGTTGTGAATCAATGTGACTTTTGTCAAAATAACTTCATTCCAGCATAAATAATGCATATAACCACTGTTCTGTTTCATGGTTTTAGGTTAAATTCGTTAAGAATATTATTAAGTGGGGCTGGGGATTTAGCTCAGTGGTTATGTCGTTGGCCTCACAAATACAAGGTCCCAAGTTCAATACCCAGTGCCAAAAAAAGAGATTATTATTATTAATTTTTGTCTTTTCAGTACCATGATGAAGTCTTTTTTTTTAAAAAAAGAGATTAAATCTTAGTAAAAGCTGATTTCCAAAGCCATTAAGTGTTAAGTGCTTAATAATAGTGATTGAGGGTGATTCTGTTGATAACAATTTCAAAAAAATAAAACTTAGCCTTTGTCAAGCTACTGAACTGCTATGTGGTAGGGAGAATTAGGATCTTTAGCTTCTACATCTGACAAAAACACATAATGGTTATATCATATGACTAAATTAAGTTTTTATCTCCCTGCTGATGAATAAAACAATGAAATCTCTAGACTTAACTGACTCCTTAAACAACTGAGCAGAATCAGTATCTGTTGGGTCATCATGAACCAAGGTATGTCATTCAACTAATTTGCCTTGTATTTATTTCCCTTTTTTAAAGTTCTGAAGATTGTGTCCCATCTCTGACTCTGCTCATGTTAAGCAAGTGCTCTATCACTGAGCTATACTCCTTACCCCTTATTTGCCTTGTTTTAACTTGTCTACATTATTCCAAATGTGGTCACTATTTTGGTACTGGGGATGGAACTCAGGACTCTGTGCTTTTGAGGCAGGCGGTGGCACCACTGAGCTAAATCCTCAGCCCCAAATGCTGTCACTTTAAGAAACTGTATTAATAAGGCCTCTTACTTTCTCTGGACATATTTCTTTGGTTGTTGGAATCACTTTCATTGACTAGCTAACAAATAAGCCTTTCAGAAATTTATTTTGGTTGCAGCTTCATTCCCACCCCATTTTTTGGAGACGGGCTCACTACATGGTTCAGGTTGGCCTTGAACTCAAGATATAGCTCAGGTTGGCCATGAACTTGTGGCAATTCTAACTGCCTCAGTCTCCCTAGTGCTGAGTTGACATCCATGTGTCACCATGCCCAGCAAGCTAGTCTTGAACAATCTTCCTGCCTCAGCTCTGAGTCCTGGGTTTACAGGTGTGTACCACCATGCCTAGGCTCTCATATTCTGTTTTACACTGGTAGGAAATTTGCTGTGATTGTTTCCATTTTAAAATTTTATTTTTTTGTGAGTTGGTTCTCTGTGCATAGTGCTCAGTCTGATGACGCTGGTGTACATTATACTCATTTAAATGGCTAGTGTCACTGCATAATAAACACAATGCTTTGCCATCTAATTCAATAACAAAATAATCCTTAAAAGGATGTTACATAAAGAATTCTTTCTTGGTGTGCTATGTACACATTCACAATGAAAAAATTATGGTATAACAATGTATGTAGCACTCTATATGCTGGCAAGTTATTAATTAAGTTATAGAGCTTTGTAGTGTGTGATAATAATGAAGAGCCTCACATAATGGCCTCTGCAAACCAGTCAACTTGTTTACTGTACAAAAGCAGCCCCAAATAATAGGTACATGAATGAGGGTGGCTATGTTCCAGTAAAACTTTATTGACAGACACTGAAATTTGATTTCACCTGTCACAAATTCTTCTTCTTCTTCTTCTTGAGATAGGGTCTTGCTATGTAGTTCAGACTGGCCTTGAACTAGCAGCAATTCTCCTGCCTTAGCTTCCTGAGTGCTGGGATTATAGGTATGCGCCACCTGCTCAGCTAATTCTTCTGATTTTTAAGATTAAAAATATTCTCAGATCTAATTTCTTAAAACAGTGAAGCAAAATAAAAAGCTAAAACCCATATTGACTATTTTTTCCCCTCCTTCATTCACTGCTATTCCTTTTTTCTTTTCACATCTTCTGACTTTCCTTGGCTCTTATCCCCTCAAAAGTTTCTATTTCTTCTATTCTACCAAAGTTACTGGAGTTTAGTGAGCTCCAATTGCCAATCTATTTCTTTTTCAGTTCTCAATCATATCTTGCATCATTTATCATCCTTCTCCTTTTAAGTTCCTCTGTACATCTTTGCTTCTCAATGCAGCAATGATATGGTTCTACTTCTGTTCTTGGTGATTTTCATCTTAAGCTCTCTTCTCTTCTATTTTCTACCACAGTAATATAACCACTATTTCAACTGTCACTTCCACGTGGATGAATCATAAATCAGTTTTTACTCTTTTCCTAAGATCCTGTCTTGCTATTTACTTTTGTGGTACCAAGGATGAAACCCAGAAATGCTCTGTTGAGCTACACTTTCAGTCTCCTTTAAATTTTTTTAAAATTTTGAGATAGCTTCCCACTAAGTTGCCCAGGCAGGACTTGAACTTGAAATCCTCCTGCTTCCACCTCCCAAAGTGCTGGGATCATAGGGGTGCACCACTATGCCTGACTCTGTCTTGCCTTTTAAATTCTCTCTGAAACTTTCTCAAGCTCCATCTGAATGTCCTGATGGCACATCAAATTCAGTATGACACAAATCACTGTATACTTCCATCTTTGTCCTCTGCTACTCTAGATTTGCTATAGCCACTCTGCCCTACTTTCTGTTCACACGACATGCTAGGCACACTACCACTTGAATACCTCTGCAACTTTGCTGTTCCCTATGCCTCAAAATATTTTTCTCTCAAATAGCTGCAGGGCCTGTTTCCTCACCTCCTTTGGGGAGGCCATTACCGACTATATGTAGTACCACAACCTCTCTTCTTCCTCCTGGCATTCCCCAACATTCTTCCCTGCTTTGCTTTTTCTTCCTATAGCACATAATTTCCTTCTGACTTACTATATAGTTTACTTTTCTTTAAAATTGTCTCCCACTATTACATTGGCAGAAAGGCAGGATTTAAAAAAATCTGTTTTAGGGCTGGGAATTTAGCTCAGTGGTGCAGCCACCTGCCTGTGGTTCCGAGTTCAATCCCTTGCACAAAATAAATAAAATAAAATAAAAAATCTGTTTTAGGGCCAGGGATTTAGCTCAGTGATGTAGCCACCTGCCTGTGGTCCTGAGTTTGATCTCTTGTACAAAATAAATAAAATAAAATAAAAACTGAGGAAAAAAAAATCTGTTTTATTCACCACTATATCCCTAACTCCTAGAACTGTGTCTAGCATGAATTAGACACTGAACAAACTCTGGTTGAATGAATAAAACATCCTTTTATTAACCGAAATTTAAAAGCTAAGGGCATTTTGTTTCCTTTTTTTCCCTTTATGTATCACGTCTAACCACTGACCAAGTCCAGTGAATCTATTACATCAATCCCGCTTCTCACACCCTAATTTGGACCTTTAGCATAACTGATACCCCCAAATTAATATTAAGCATCTTCTAGATGTCAGATTATTAGATATTATGAATACAAAGGTGAAAACCCAAACCCTTTATAAATCTCGCCATCTAATTGCAACTTGTTTTAACCTCCACTGATAGAAAATGAACACAGTATCATAATGGCAGTTAAGATCTTTTACTAATGGTCTTCAATCTAATTCAATCAGTCTAATTTCTTACCCTTTTGCCTTACTATCCTATTTAGTACTATAGGACCAAGTGCTGAACACATTTTTTCTTTTTTTTAACGTACATATTTTGTTCAAGTTGTTCCATCTCCCTGACAGTCTCTTCTTTTTCTCATGGTCCTGGAGACTCAAATTTAGTGCCTCATGTATGCTAGGCAATCAGTGTGCTACAATGAGCTACATCCTTGGTTCCCTTTATCCCTTTTCTAAGTGTTACCTATTTTCCAAAAATGTAACTTTGATGCCATTTCTTCCTAGATAACAAAGCCAAAAATGTTAGTTTCACTTTTCTAGCTCTCTATAGCAGCTGACAAGGGTAAGGAGTTGACATGTTTCTTGTTCTACCTTATTAAATAGCTTATTAAAGTCATGTGACTTTGGACAAGTGATTTATCTGAACCTCGTTTTTCTTGTAAAATAAGGTTTATCTTTCTGGGCTGTTAGAACAATTACATGAGATTAAAATACATAAAATATCTAGCACAGTGTACCGCAAGAAAAAAGGCTCAAAACACTATGTGAGTTCCCAACTGTCATAATCTTTACAAGCCTTTCTTCCTCATTTTAATTACCTATATACTGTGTCTTAACCATTCCCTCCCAGTAAATTTTTGAAAAATAGCTCCACAGTACCAAATTCTGTATACCATAGAGAGTACTTAGATAATGTGTACAGATAAAAAGAACAAACAATACATAAATCAGCAAGCTTGTCTTTGTTATATTCTCCTGTTCTAGTTCTAAATGCTTAGCAAGATAAAATTGGATCAGACAGCAAATAAAAAGAATATAGGGTCAGGGATTTAGCTCAGTGATACTACCCCTGCTTTGCAAGTGCAAGGTCCTGAATTCAATCCCTAGTTATGGGAAAAAAAAAAAAAAAAAAAAGCCAATTTAATAAATCTGTTCTTAAAATTTCAAGTTGTTACATGGCTTCTGAATTAGTTCTCCTCTTCTTCTTACCTGCTACTTCATCACTGTAGGTAGACAGCAGTTTCCAGATGAGATAAGGACCACCAAGGATAACAGCAAAGAACAAGAATATTGGCCAAGATTTTGCTGAGTTAACTGCTTGGTCCTCAGTACCAAGACAAGCCACAGTTCCTTCACTTTCTGCCCACAGGTCCTCATTCTCAGAGCCTCTTCTTAAACCCATCATACGTTGTAACCGTCTATAAAGATATCTTATAGTCCTTACTAAGGCAAAAGCTGAAAAAACCTTTGTGAAGTGTATTTTTAGTCTGGAAAAGTGATTTGCTACATCCAATACAGCCCTGAAACTGTTATAGACAGCTGAAAAGGTAGCATCCATCATCATACTGACGGAGGCAAATGCATGTACAATACTTTCAATGGACTGAAATGCACCTCTGCTACTTTCTTCAGCTTGTTGAACAAATCTACTAGGTGGAAGATCATCTACACGGAGGCGATTATAGCCCAAACTATTATATCCATAACTATAAGGGCTATAGTTTCCATAAAATGAATTTCCATAGGTGCCATATCCAGAAGAAAATGAACTGTAAGTAGGTCTGAAAGTGTTCAAAGTGCTGCTTCCTGTCTGCTGTGATGGCCTTGGAAGAATAGGTGGGGGCACTCTGGTAAGTGTTGGTTGTCCAGGTCTTGTCAATAAAGTAGGGCCCAAGTCAGCAGATCTAAAATGAAAAAGAAATTCAAAATAGTTATTTAAGTAAACAATAAATTCTATTAAAAGTAACTATTAAATATCTACGGCATGTCTACTGTATGACAGATTATACTGAAAATGTTGTAGGAGTGGTCACTCATCTATGATTCTGTGATTCTGCTTTCCATTGGTTCAGTTACTCCCAGCTAACTGTGGTTACCACAGTAGAATAAGATTGTTTTTTTTTGGTACCGGGGATCAAACTTGGGACCTTGCGCAGGCAGGTGGCAGAAAGCAGTGTATCTTTGATGGTTAAGAAGAGGACTAATTAAGGATTAGTTCAGTGCTTAGATGCCCACTGTTAAAATAAACTGAATAAGGTAAAGTAGCTGACTAAACTGCTATTTTGTTTACTTGTACTGGCATTATTTAATATTCAAGCTATGGTTTCATTTTACAGACACTATCCACTGTCTCAAGATTAAAAGTACTTATCTGTCCTTGAACCTAAGTAGCACTATTTATTAGTTTTATAATAAAAACCCAAGTGCTGCCACACTTTTCTTCAAATTTAAGAGGGTCTTGGCTTTGCATTTCCATAAAATTTTTTGACTACAGCTTGAAGCTCTACATCTCTTCTGCCACTGCCCCCCCAAGCTTATTGTGATTGTTTGGGATTATACTGAATCTATAGGTTAATTTGAGATAAATTAATATAGTTATACTACTATAGCCATAAACACAATAAATGATCCATTATTTAGGTTTAAAGATTTTTCTCAATAATGTTTTATTTATTTATTCATTTTTTGCGGTACTGGGAATCAAACTTGGGCCCTTGTGCTTGCAAGGCAGGCAGGGGGACCACTGAGCCAAATCCCGGCCCCAATTATGTTTTAAAAAATAACTAAGTCTCAATAATGTTTTTATATGTTACTGTGTGGAGGTGTTGCACTGAATAAAATTGATGAGAGTGGGTATCCATCCTTGTTTCATTTCTGACATCAAAGGAAGGGTTTTCAATGTGTCCCATGAGTTGTTATGTTTGTTATAGATCTATTATAAATTTAGTAGTTATTTTTATTACCAATTGCTGAATTTTTATCATGAATGACTGCTAAACTTTATTAAATGATTTCTCATCATCTACCAAGATGACTGTATACTTCTCGTTTATTCTAATATGGTGAATTACATTATCCCCTAGCACTTGTAGTACCAGCCATTGAACTCAGGACCTTGAGCTTTCGAAGCAGGCAAGGCGCCACTGAGCTAAATCCCTGGATAATTTGCAAATGTTAAAGTTACCTTAAAATTCCTGAAGTGAAACCAAATAGGCCATGACATATTGCTAGATTTGGCTTGCCACTATTTTGTGGATTTCTTTTTTTGTTTTGTTTTTTTTCAGACAGGGTCTCACTATGTAGTTGAGACTGACCTGGAACTTACTATGTAGCACAGGCTGGTCTCTAACTCACAGTGATCCTCCTGCCTCAGCCTCCCCAGTACTGGCATTACAGGCATGCGCCACCACGCCTGACTTTGCTTTTGTGGATTTCTTTTGGGGATTATGGGCATGCTTCATCAAGCATTTAATAAACAATGTCAAGATAAAATTCACTTACTTAAAATGTAAGATACAATGATTTTTAGTATATGCAAGGAGGGAGCTCTGGTAGGAAGAGTGGCAGCCATGTGCCAAGACGCCCAAGAGGAGGGTCAGCTTGGCCAAAGAGGCGGCAAATAAGGAGTCCAAGAGGCAAAAGTAGAAACAAAGCCAAAAAAAAAAAAAAAAAAAAAAAAAAAAAAAAAAAAAAAGGCAGCAGGAAAGGATACATCTTTGCACAAAAAAGTGCAAGCAAAAGTGAAAAGGGGAGCAAAAGGAAAATAGGCTGAAGTGTCTAATCAAGAAACTAAGGAGGATTTACCTGTGGAAAATGAGAAACTAAAACAAGGACAGCACAGCCTTTGATGAAACAGAAGCGATAGAAGCCAAGTCTTACTAATCACACACAGTTTTTTAGTAGCTATAGAAAATTTTTTTAAAAGGAGGGAATCCATCTCATCTCATCTTTTAAGTGTAAATGATTTTTTTAAAGAGGAGAAATCATTTACTGGTTATTTTTTTGGTACAACTAGAAAATAGTGGGATACTGAATTATGGCAGGCTTTGTCTTGGGTGTCAGCTTAACATTCCATAGGTGGGGGTTAGTTTTATATCCTGCAATAGAAAGCATACTAAATGGCAATTTGGAGCCACAGTCATGCATTTACTGTGGTTTGGATATTATAAATGACTTTTATTCCCATGTTGCTTTTAGTAGAATTGTTGCCTATAGAAAATTACTTCCTAATCTTTGCTCTGTCAGAATCATGTGTATTCTATAACACCTTTGGTTGTGGTAGTCTAGTTTGCCTAATTTGATTAATGTGCTATGAAAGATCGACAATTTGAGTATGTAGTATATATGATATGAAATTGTGAATCAGTGGAACTTAAGTAATTACTTTATCAGCATTTGAAAATAATGGTACTTAATCCTCTTATGGAAAATTTGCCCCCAAATTTGAAGCTGGAAAGTCACTGGAATAACTGAAAAAGAAACAATACATGGCCTTTTAGATTTTTGGTATATGTGTTAAGAACTGTATACTAAGTGAAATGTCTGTATCAATCCTCAGCACAACCAATAAAAATCTCAAATATGGAAGACAAAAAATATACATACGCAATTATCATTATGTTTAAATTCTGGGATTTTTTTCATTATCCCCCAAAAGAAGACACTTTTTTCAGGAACAACTCCTCATTTCTTGACCCACTTCCAATTCCAATTTGGTGGTGGTATTAGGGATTGAACCTAGGATCTTTGCACTGCACTACATTCATAGCCATTTAATTTGTTTGTTTTTGAGGCAGGGTCTTATAAAGATGCCCAGGCTATGCCTGAACTTGTATTCCTCCTGCCCTGACTCAGTCTCCCAATGTGCTAGGATTATAGGTGTGTGCCACCATGTCCAGCTCCTATTTCTTTTTTATTTTTATTTTTATTTATTTTTATTTTTTTGGTACTGGGGATCAAACTCTGGACCTTGCGCTTGCAATCCAGGCAGCGGCACCAATGAGCTAAATCCCTCTCCCATTTCTTTTTTATTTTTATTTTTGGTACCAGGGACGGAACTTGGGACCTTGTGCTTGTAAGGGAGGCAGCAGAATCTTTGAGCTGAATCCGCAGCCCTCCAGCTCTTATTTCTAATCTTTGGTAATCACTCATTTATGTTCTGTCTCTATAAACTTGTCTCTTCTGGAGATTTCAATTATAGTTGATTCTTGTTAAGGTAGTTATGCCCTATTAAGTTTTTTGTGAATGTTAATTTAGCCAATACTGAATCACTATTTCTAGAAGAAACAAAGGTTTAGGTTCCTGCAAGTTTCAGGTCACATCATCAACCCAATAACACATATACTTGCTTTTCTAATCTGTTTGGCATTTCTTAACCTAATGAAATTGACATGTCAGGATTAATAGTCACACCTGCACTATGGTTGTTCATGAATGACTATGAAAGTATAAGGTTTTAGAGCCAATGATGGCTGCACCCTGGTGAGTGGAAGCGAAGGTTGCAGTGAGTCTTAGAGTGGTGGAGGAAGAATGCAGGAGGTGAGTCTAAGGCTCAAAATGGAGAATCATAAACCAGATGATACTATCAGGGAAAACTTAATTGATATCATAGCCAGAAAAGTTAACCAACTTTCAGAAACAGACAGGAGTTTACCTGAACATGGATCAACATATAATGGACTTAATGCAGCATTCCGTGGCCTAATAGCAAATAGAGTCTTTTTTGGTGCACCTTGCATGTGACAAAGGCTCATACAAATGCTGGGTTACCAATGGAGGTGATCTCATTTTTGTCAGAAAATGCCTCTTACACAAGTTTTGTAAGTTTACCTCTGAGTACAGGTGATTTGATTATGAAACCCTTTACCAAGACAGCCAGGACTGGTTGGTTTAGTTTTTGGTGGCCGGTACCCTGCTTTCTTGGCTATTCCTGTGAAGGGCGCCCTAGCAGCCAAGTATCAATCAACCTTGCTATCAGAGAAAGGAAACATTTTAAGGTACTAAATTAGAATATCCAAGCCTGTCTTTAGGAAGCTGCTATTTTCAGACTGTGTTTGCAGCATATCTTGAATCTAGACAATATAAACTACTTATAAAGGCTCTTTAGATAACCAAACTGGGCCTAGAAATTCACTGATTTTGGGGGGGGGTATTGGGGATTGAACTCAGAACCTTGAGATTGCAAGGCAGGCACAGTGTCACTGAGCTAAATCCTCAGCCCCTGATTTTTAACCAAATATGTATGCAAAAATAAAACAGTGAAAATAACCAGTCTCTAACGCTAAAAATAAATATACAGTTGTAATTTAGTACATGAGGTACAAGGCTACATAGGGAAAAAGGCTGAACCTTAGTAAAGACTACCCATTTAAACAAAAGTAAAGACAGGGTTGTACTCAATTGTACAGTGCTTGTCTGGCATGCATGAAGCCCTGAGTTCAATCCCAAGCACTGTGCCAAAAAGGAAGCAAGCAAGCACGCAAGCATAATTTCTCTGTAAAAAAACAGATAATGAGGTTTTATGGTAAATGAACTCATGATTTGTTAGTGTTTTGTTATAGGCTTCTTTCCCTTGGCATACATGTTTCCAAGGTTTACCCATATCATGGCATGTAACAGTTCAGGTTGTGTATCCTTATTTGAAATGCTTGAGACTAGAAGTTGGAGTTCAGAATCTTTCTTCAGATTTTAGAATATATTCATATACTTAATGAGATATCTTTGGGATGGGACTCAAGTCTAAACATGAAATTTACAAATGTTTCATATGTACCTCATACACACAGCCTAATGATTATTTCATAAAATATTTTTAGTGTACTCAATTTTGACTGAAACCATCATATGAGGTCACCTTGAGTGGCTCGAGACAGCACATTTTTGAGTGTCTAGGAAGGTCATAGGG